TTGTTTTTTATTTTTTTCTTTCTTTCATTCTACTCCTCCCAATGTTGATTCTTCTTTTCTTTCTTCTTCTTATACTACTATTATCTTTTTTCTTCTTCTTCTTCTTCTTTCGGTCCTTTCATCATTCTTCTTCTTCCTTTTCTTCTTCTTCTTCTTCTTCTTCTTCTTCTTTCGATACTTCTACTACTATTAATATTACTACAACTTTTTCCGCTTTGGCTTCTTCTATTTCTTCTTCTCGTGCTTGTTGTTGTTGTTGTTCTTCTTCTTCTTCTACTACTACTACTACTACTACTGCTGCTGCTGCTGCTTCTATTTATTCTCATGCTTTTTCTTCCTCGTCTCCTTCTACTACAACTAGTACCGTTTTTCCCTTCTTCTATTTCTTCTTTTTATGCTTCTTCTTCTTCTTCTTCTTCTTCTTCTTCTTCTTCTACTACTACTACTACTACTACTACTTGCGCCTTTTCTTCTTCTATTTCTTCTTCTTCGCTTCTACTGTTTCTTTTTCTTTGTTTACTCTAATTTTCTCTCTCTTATACTTTCGTCTCCCTTTCTTACATTCCGCATGTATCCTCCTCCCTACACACACCCACCCACACATTTACATTTGACTCCCAAAGGAAAATTTCAAATGTACTGGAAGGAATTCCAGTCATATATACAAATTATAATCTAATTAAATGCCACGATGGAATAGGAATGATCATGAAACCTATTCTCTGGGACTTTATTGTCGAATGGAAATACGCCAAGAACTGCACCATCACCATTTCCAGACAAACTGCATTTCTCAGTTCCACCATTTCTAACATAAGACCCGCCATTTTTTCCCATTGTAGCTTTTACACCCTCATTCCCTTCGTATTCCATTGGTGAGATGTTGGTTCCGCTCGAACAGCTTCTTCCCACGAACTATTGCTTTGTGGAACCGACTCCCAAGAGGATGCTTCCCCGATCACTACAATCTTAACCTGTTCAAGTCTAGGGTTAACCGTTATCTTCTCCACATATCCGCACAAACCCTGCCTCTTATTCTGTAACCCTCTCCCTGCTTTGCGGAACCGACTCCCAAGAGGATGCTTTCCCGATCACTACAATCTTAACCTGTTCAAGTCTAGGGTGAACCGTTATCTTCTCCACATATCCCCACAAACCCTGCCTCTTATTCTGTAACACTCTACCTGCTTTGCGGAATCGACTCCCAATGGGATTCTTCCCCGATCACTACAATCTTAACCTGTTCAAGTCTAGGGTTAACCGTTATCTTCCCCACCTATCCGCATAAACCCTGCCTTTTATTCTGTAACCCTCTCCCTGCTTTGTGTAACCGACTCCCAAGAGGATGCTTTCCCGATCACTACAATCTTAACCTGTTTAAGTCTAGGGTTAGCCGTTATCTTCTCCACCTATCTGCATAAACTGAGCCACTTACTCTGTAATACTCTACCTCGATTGGCTCTCAGTCCTTGTAAGGAGAAACATTATTGTTAAAAACAAAAAGATACTCTTTCACCGGCTTATGCATGGTTGGTTGGTTTGTGTGGAGATTGCGTGAAATTAAAAAGATAATCGCACCCTAATTATCCTGCTTTGCATCAGAATTTCTGTACAAAAATCACCATATCGCACCCCGACCAAACAAAAAGAAAATGGCCATACCATGGTTTTCAGCCATTTCACTGAAATCAAACCCAGTACGAGATTTTTAAGTGCGTGTCAAAAAAGGATGATTTATTATAGAAACACTACGGTAGGGACACAAATAAGTAACAAAAAAAAATTTAAATCAGTTCATCCCAAGCAAGGTGATAATGCCACTAAGACGCAAGAGGAGTGAAATAATATAAGAAAACTTTAGAAGGAGCCGAAAACCTAATGTTAAACCGGAAACAAGTTATAGACCTCAACTCCTGACGTTAGGAGTATAAATTTGAAGAAGAATTTAGAAAGAAATCGGAAACCCAATGTTAACTATTTGCCCATAGCTGGGACCCTGACGGGTTATACCAACCCGGTTCAGAATGGACCGGGTAACACCAGCAATTAAGAGATGGTTATATGCTCCTCAAAACCTCCTGATCAGAGGCCTTGCTGTTAGATGTAGTTTATCGTCTTACCCAGGACGTTTTGCATTTGAGTCTCTCTGCATTTACGTGTTTCCGGGACAGGTAAATACTGGCTGTTTATATTTGTTTCTGTAAGCATTTACTTGATACAGATATATGTAAATATTGTTGGTTTATACTTGGATCCCCATGCATTTATTTGCCTCGGAGTTAGACAAATATTACTTTTTGATGTCTAAACAGTAAGCCACCCAAAATGACGTCAATTGTTAGAACGTTTTAATATTGAAAGGCAATGAAAGAAAAGTCTTGAAACAGTACACTGAGAGTCAATAAAACGGAGATCCAGAATTCGCAAATAAATTAGAGGCCAATGAAGAACGCAGGCGATCACGGCTCTTCACAATTTCCTGTCCTTTGTAGATCAAGATTTACTTGAGCACCCCACTGAGTCAGGTTTTTAACGAGGTAACCCGGGTGAAAACACTCGGGCCGCTGGTCAAAGCTTGTCTAAGCTGGTCTTAGATGGTCAAAGCTTGTCTAAGCTGGTCAACTCTTGTCCAAGCTGGCCTTAGATGGTCAAAGCTTGTCTAAAGCTGGTCAAAGCATGTCTAAGCTGGCCTTAGCTGATAGCTTGTCTAAGCTGGCCTTAGCTGGTCTTAGCTTTTCTAAGCTGGTCAACGCTTGTCGAAATTGGTTCTAGATGGTCATAGCTTGTCTAAGCTGTTCAAAGCTTGATTAAGCTTGTCTTAGCTGGTCAAAGCTTGTCTAAGCTGGTCTCAGCTGGTCAAAGCTTGTCTAACCTGGTCTTAACTGGTCAAAGCTTGTCTAAGCTGGCCAAAGCTTGTCTAAGCTGGTCTTAGCTGGTCATAGTTTGTCTACGCTGGTCTTAGCTCATTTAAGCTGGTCATAAGATGTCTAAGCTGGTCAAAGATTGTCTAAACTGGTTTTATCTGGTCATAGCTTGTCTAAGCTGGTCAAAGCTTGGTATTCTCAGCATCCTTCTGTAGAACCACATTTCTATTGCTTCGTCATTTGTAAGGAGATTGTCCATTCTTCATTGCCATATTAACCAGATTAAATTTCTTTAAAATATTTTTTGTTTATTTTATATTTATTACGTAACAAACCTAACAATTACTCGTATTTTGTCTATATTTCTGAGATGGGGTATTATGTACACTATTTACATTATTCAAACTATTGTCCTCATCTTTGCTGCCATATTTATCACAACATTTCGGCTGTTGTACGCTCCGGACTTCTTCAGGTGGTTAAGAATGTCGAATTGAACCCTTTATTTCGCTCACTGGAGTAGACTGTTCTAGTTCCACGTGCCATGTTTAATGGATGTCAGTTATCAGTTATCTCCTGTTAATTCACCTCTCCAAGTTCTCCACTGCCTTAACCAGGTATTGAACTCACAACTCTTTTAGGTCCTGTCACTGGATCTAACCAACGCCTTTATCCACTGTGCCATGTGTCCTTAACAGTGGATAAAGGTGTATATATGGGGTGTCTCTGTGAGTGTATACGCGACGTATGTGTGTGTGTGTGCAGGGTGTGTACAATTCAGCGTTTATAATGTCTGAAATGCTAACGGATCAGTTTTTCTTGCCGTCTTCTCGTGTTCTGAGCCTGCGCATGCGCCCGCACCTGCGCTACGCTCGTTTTTATAATCCTCCAGTGACGAACGCAGTTCTTATGACCAATTACAAATGCCGAGACCTTAGGCGGAACACTCGATACGGACATCAGTTCAATTAAAAATCATGACCAACTCGATCATACACAGAGTGTTCAGTTTTTGAACAGATAACAAGAATACAGCCTTCTTGTCCAACGAAAGGCTAATCTCCGAAAGCCTCGGATAAAATGTTTAATAGACAGGCCTTGTTGCTGTTATTTAATAAAACTTGTTTATATATAAACTGGCTGCTCGTATCCGAGAATGCCTGTCTATTATAACGGCTAGGCAATCCTTGTTGCAGACGCCTGCTCAGGCACATTTGCGTTTCTTCAACACCCACAGAGTCCACGGGTGGTTTATATTTGAACTATGCTGAGCGAATCTTAGTTATAATTTTTGGTAGAGAGCGCATTACCTCTCTGATCAAGCCCAGTACACTGAAACTCTCGGTCACGATGACTTGCGACTTCGTGTTAACACAACCATCGACGGATGCCAAGTAGTTCGGTTTGCTCAATTTCACTCACAAGGCTTGGGTCAAACGGTGGTATGGTTCCGCACACAAGGACCGCCTCCCACAGGCCTATAACATCAAGAAGTTGCCTTGCTGATAAATTGATAAATCGACCATATATATATATATATATATATATATATATATATATATATATATATATATATATATATATATAATTTTTCATTAATGCATGTTTCATTAAATAATATAGACAAGTTTTGTCTATTTATTTTAAAAAAGTTCCTTTCATATTGTCTGATAAGCTTAATAACATTATCATTGAAAGACGAAAGGAAAACACCATATTGATACATGTTTTAATACAATCTAAGCTTTCAGCTTACATAAGCCATTATCAAAGGTGACAATAACATTTCAATATATCAAACAATACACGGACAAAACAATAATGATAGTCTGTTTTTGTTGCATGAAAAATTTCAAAGCAACGACAAACTCGTGTATACGAGACGCGGAAGCGAAAATCGCGTCGCAGCTCGTGACGTCACACATGACCACGCGAGAGTGAAAACGAGAAGTATTAAGTATGGGAAGCCGTTGGTATAAACCAATGGCTTCTGTTATCAATTATAGGCATTTAAGAATATTTGTGGAGATTTCATAGTTTATTTTGTTCAGGTTAGGTTTCAACTGTTTTATGTATATAGCTTCAAGAATTTTTAGTTTTTGTTTATTGTTTTCATGTTTAAGTATAGTTGTGTTTTCAACAAGAATTTTCTGGAATTGAGTACGCGGACAGGCATGTTGTTTTAAATGTCTAAAAATGTTGGTGTTATCATTTAAATGTAGAGTTAAGAGCCGTGAAACTACATTTAAATGATAACTCACTTAAAATACTCAAAACTTGTCTATATTATTTAATGAAGGAGTCCCTGGAGTGTAGAATCTACTAGTTTATTCCTGTTGCAGTTATCTGCTCAGGCATATCTCTGTTTAACACCCACATAGCCAACGTGTGGTTTATATTACAGCTATACTGAACGGGCCTTAATTTTTGTTTCTGGGAGAGAGTGTACACATCTGGCGCGATCAGTCATCACATGGTTTGCTTATTCATTAATTTCATTCTTGATTAACCGTTCCGGCATTACCATGTCAGCCATTTTCTCTTGCGATGGATAAAGGTCGGAGAAATAAGTAAAAATGGCTTTTCTCAAAGAGCGACCAGTCCTCGGTCGATTACCCGACCAGAACTTAGATGGGGGATTGCTTGAAAGCACCAGGACTGTAACCAACCTTCTACAATCAGAAATATGCTTCAGCTTTAAATAATCCACAATGGGTTGATAAACCGTAAAAGAAGATTAAACAATTTTCAAAGTGCGAATTGAAAATAGGTGGCCAGGGGCGAAATACGAATTCAGCTTTCCATAGTATGATAATTCTTTTTCTGTGGGTGATAATTCTTTTTTGTGGGTGATAATTGTATTTTTACTGATAATTAATTCTTGTTGATGAGAATTTAACTTTTACTCATGCTAATTCATTTTTGTGGGAGATAATTCTTTTTTACTGATGATAATTCTTTTTTGTGGGTGATATTTTAACTGATAATAATCCTTTTTTTGTGGATAATAATTCTATTTTTCCTGATTATAATTCTTTTTTATCAGTGATAATTCTATTTTTACTGATAATAATTTTTTTTGTGGGTGATAATTCTATTTTTACTGATGATAATTCTTTTTTGTGAGTGATAATTCTTTTTTTACAGATGATAGTTCTATTTTGTGGGTGATAGTTTTATTTTTACTGACGATTATTCTTTTTTTGTGGGGGATAATTCTAATTTTACTGATGATAATACATTTTTGTGGGTGATAATTCTATTTTAACTTATGGTAATTATTTTTTGTGGCTGATAATTTAATTTTTACTGATGACAATTTTGGGGGGATGATAATTTATTTTAACTGATGATAATTCTTTTTTGTAAGTAATAATTCTATTTTTCCTGATTATAGTTCTTTTTTGTGGTTGATAATTCTATTTTTACTGATGATAATTTTTTCTGTGGATGATAAGTCTTATGCTGAAATAACGGCTAAATCGGATGTTAAAATAAGAGGCAACTCAGATGTAGAAATGGGGACTGAACACGCTAAAAGGATAGATTGGACGGTAAAATACGGGGATTAAATCAGATGATGAAAGGAATGAGTCAAATCACGTATTAAAGGTTGGAATTAAATCAGATTTTAAAATAAGGGCTAAATCGGGCTTTAAATGGAGGCTAAATCAGATATTAAAACATTGTGGCTCTATCAGATGTTAAAATGTGGGATATACGCCATGTTAAAATGAAAGCTAAATCAGACGTTGAAATGAGGGTCAAAGGTGTTAGATTGAGCAGGTTAAATTATACGTCAAAAAGTGATAGGCTAAATCAAATGTTAAAATTTGGTGGGGAGGGGGATACATCCAGAGTTAAAATCAGGGTTAAATTAGATGTTGAAATGAGAGCTAAAGAGGCTAAAAGTTGATGGCAAAATCAAATCTTGAATAGTGGGGGTAAAATCTCTTTGGGAAAACGTGGGAGATCTGAGCTCTCAATAGCACCGTGTAATGTTTCGCGATCATTCATACTGGTCTAGCCGAGAACTTTTCGGTGACTTCTCGTATGTGCAATTATAAAATCTATATATGTAGGTACCTACGTATGTACCATGAGCTTCCGAGAAGTAATTACTATTCTCAGTGTCAATGCGTAGCCCTTGGTGTTGTGGAGGAAAACCTCTTCTCGCCGTATGAATATAAACTCGTTTGCATCTATCATTATTACTCTTTGTTTTATCCATTCCGGCTGTGCGAGATTAGAAATCAGCGTCTACGATATTTTTATTTTTTTTTTTTTTTTTGTAGTCTGTGAATCTTTTTAAAGATCAAGTGACAAAAGGAGAAAGCGGAGTTTAGAATATCGTGTACTGCTAATTTTTTACGTTTTTCTTTAAAATTTACGTTTCCGATTTCATTTACGGCCTGCCTTATTAATTAGGGCGCAGAAATAACTGAATATAAATAGATATATATAAGTGCACACACAGACACAAACACACGTATACACGCAGATAGATAGATAGATAACGAACATAGATAGATAGATAGATAGATAGATAACGAACACATCTGGACAGATATGAAAAGATCGGAACATACAGATAGATAGATAGATAGATAGATAGATAGATAGATAACGTACACATCTGGACATATATGAAAAGATCGGGATATATATATATATCAAGCAGATCAGTTCCTAGGAAACCGACAGCCCGACACCAGCACATGTAATTTGATTATAGTGGTGGAGGTTTCGTGCAAGACCATGCACACTTTTTGAAGGGCCGAATACAAAAACTTGGTGCACTACGTGCCACAAGGTCCCCAAATGACCCTCCGCGGGTTTTGAATTCAGAGTTGTCCTTCTCCTAGACCAGTTGGCATCCAAGGAGGGAGAAGAAGAGGATTCATACCTTTCCCAAGGGTATTAGCATTAATAAGTTTAATGTAATGGATTTATTTTTTTGGAATTTGAACTCAAAATCCGTTTTCTCTATTCAAGCTCCTACCTACTAGCCCCAAAATATAATTATAATATATATGTATATATATATATATATATATATATATATATATATATATATATATATATATATATATATATATATATATATATATATATATATATATATATATATATTTAATAGGCAAATAAAGGACTTATTAAAGGACATATATATATATATATATATATATATATATATATATATATATATATATATATATATATATTCCCAACTGATCAAAGGTGAGAAAAAAGATTATTTCTATTTTTTAGTAATGGTATCAACATTCATACACTGGCTTCCATCCTCAAAGTTCATTCAAGAACCATCAAGAGAATGGCGAATAAGTTTAAAAAGAGAGGGAACAGTAGAGAGGAAAACTGGATCATCATTAATTTAGAGCTAAAGTGATCAATTAGACAAGAATTCATAAGACGTTTCGCATGCGAGAGAGGAGTTTCAGCTATGACAGTCCAAAGAGCAGTGGAAAAAAAAACTTGAAAATGAAGTCCTATGTAGAACTTCGGAGGCAATTTACTACTTTAGGACAGAAGGTTAGAAGGCTAGAGAGGGCGAAGATCATTTTGAATAATTGTATATATATATATATATATATATATATATATATATTGAAACAAAAATGTAAAATTTTGTAGTGGATATATGCATGTTTTAATGTAACACTGTATACCATAAATAAATATTTACGGATCTGCTTTGTGTATTGAGCACTGTTTTTTAATGAATCTTACTGTTCGTTCTACACTTTGATATATATATATATATATATATATATATATATATATATATATATATATATATATATATATATAAATAAAAAAATATAGTCTTAAGGTGTGCTATATTTATGGGATAAAGTGCTCAATATCAGAGATAGAGCCTGTGTAAATATAAATATGAACATTGAAGTCAACACTTAGAGGCGACAGTCTGTTTCATGCTAGACGCAATCGTCAGGTCTGACGATTGTGTTTAGTATAAAAACATATTTTTTACTCTATAATGTTGACTTCAATATATATATATATATATATATATATATATATAAGTATACATTGAAATCAACATATATATATATATATATATATATATATATATATATATATATATATATGAGAAAAGAAGTTATAGTGGTTACAACGAGAGAGAAAAGTGTGTATATTAACGAGCTAATAAGAAATTAGAAAAACATTTTTTGGTTGTAATTTTTTTTTATAAAATCCACATTACAACCAAAAACGTTTGCGGTACCTCACTTCTTTTTAATATATATATATATATATATATATATATATATATATATATAGAGAGAGAGAGAGGAGAGAGAGAGAGAGAGAGAGAGACGTGTGTAGAATTTGTGTGTATGTTTCGTTAACACTCCAGGATGCTGAATAATAGAGAAGTTCGGATAACTTTTATGGCAAACCAGCAGAAATGAAGATAAAACAGTAATAACAAAAACAAACGGTAAAATTTGAGTGATGGCTTCTATGGTATATGAGTGGGTTTGTATTTAAGGTGGTCATTATTTTTAATGTAGTTCCCGGCTTGAAGTACCAATGAAAAGTCCAGCCTGGGCTTGATGACCACCTGTGTCCACTGTCGTGGCTATTAAACACTGTTTATAGAAACAAATAAAAATACCCCTTAAGAAGCAGTCCTGCTATAATTGGCAGTGGGCGGAAAGTAATAGACAGAATGCAAAATTCACGGTAAACTATAGAACGCTAATGCACAATTGGCTGTGTACAAAGATATCATTACAACTTCTTTTCTCTCTAAGCCAATTTTTCTTAAGTTTTTCATACCAGAATTCAATTTCAGAATTCACAAGTTAATGCTCTATACGCAACTGACTCGTGAAAAGAATTCTTTCTGAAATAAGACTTGAGTATGGAAGAGAAGTTTCTGGGAGATATACTAGAGAAAGAGAGCCTAGTGAATTTAACACTCACCGGGCATGTTGAACGCAAGATAAGCAAGGAGGAACTGCAAGTAATCTATTTAATGAGAAAGAAAGAAAGAAAGAAAGAAAGAAAGAAAGAAAGAAAGAAAGAAAGAAACAGAGGGAGAGAGAGAAATAGAGATAGAGAAAAGAATGAGAGAGGAGAGGAGAGAAGGGGAATAAACAGAGAAAGACAGAAAGAAACAAAGCGAAAAAGAATGAGTGAGAGAAAGAGAACGAGAGAGAAAAACAAAGAAAAAAGAAACACAGGGAGTGAGAAAAGAAATAGAAAGAAAGAAAGAAAGAAAGAAAGAAAGAAAGAAAGAAAGAAAAAAGAAAGAAAGGAACAGAATGAGAGAGAGAAGCAAAGAGAGAAAAATGAAAGAGAGAGAAGGTGAGAGAAGGGGCGATAGACAGAGAGAGAGAGAGAGAGAGGGAGAGAGAGAGAGGGAAGAAAGAAAAGAGAAAGAAAGAAAAAAATGTCTGAATGGATGGCAGAACTGAGAAATGATGGATGTTAGTTGGCATCCGTTTATCTCGCGCGGAAATGGTAGCGCCCTTTTTGGTCAAAATTCAATCCGTTGGTGGTGAATCTGGAGCGACCTCTCCAAGGGGCAGGGTTTTTGGACGAAGATATTAGGAGGGCGTACGCTGCCCGTTTCCCATTCTCTCGGCCGTACCAAAAAAAAAAAAAAAAATGCAACGGAATACAAATGGATGTTGAAAAAGATTCTCTGTAGAGAAACAAAAGACGGCAAGCCGTGTAAAGCCATGATCTCCATATGGATTGACGTAGAAAAAAATGGACAGAATCCTGGTTTCGTCAGAGTAAAGCTTCGACAAGTGTTTCTGGACTTCTGTGGTTAAATTTATTCTTTTCTTTATAATCTGAGTTATTCCGTCTTGTATTTGAGTGAATCTCCTGTTCTTTAGAATTCTACAATATTTTAGACTTCGTGTCATTAGCGACTAAACCGGTTTCGCCATCATTTTTTTTCTTTTGGTGCTAGACACCTAACAGGCTTAATTCTTTTTTTAATGCCCTGTTAAAATGGCGGACGAACTTTCTTGTACAATCAACGTCCATCACGCACAAACAGGTAGACTAATTCAACGAGGGCAGGGCATCACTAAAGTAAATGGCCAATGTGAAGGGCTCCTCTAAATGGGATCAACGACCACATGTCCATGACCAGGGCGAACCTGGGTATTTGCACCCAGAAGGAGATGGGCTCCGCCAGGTCTACTTGCTCAAGACAAGCTGTGCGTGAATGGATATTTATCCGGCTTTCAACCCAGATATATGGTGGGAACTGATCAGGTACACAGGCCCTACGATGCTGTCATGATGATGTTGCTATTGATGGTGCTGTTGATGATGATTGTAATTTATTAACAAATCCTGTTGCTTAAAGTGTTGTTTCGATCACCATGTTTTCTTTAGTGCGCTCTCCGAACTTCCTCAAGTTTTTTTTTCTGGTTCTTTGTTATAAAATATACACGCCATCCCATATCTTTTCAAACAAGTATCTTATCTTAATGAACAGTGTGCGCTACAGATGTCATAGCACTATGGCCGAATTTAAAATTAAACATACCGCGAATAATTAGAACTATCTGTGTTCTCCCGATCATTAAGACCTGAACTCTGTGCCCCCTTGAAAGACCCTCTGCGACCCTCAGCGACCCTCCGCTCAAAAGCAACAAAAAGAACGATTACAGGCAATGAAAAATGGACTGCTTACAACAATGTTTTCTTGGGAAAAACGAAATTAGTCACCGTTAACTACTCCGAAAAGCAAGAAGCCGACACTATGCATCTGGTTAGTTTAGAAGAGCATTGTGCATTACGGGTGCCTTATGTAAAATCAGACTTTGATTTCAGGCCGAACTTGACTAAAGACAGCAATCGATGAAAAGCCTCTGAAATTTGTTAATCGGAAGGGGATAGCCTTACATCAGAACCACACTAGACCTTACGTCTCTTTGCAGATCCAGTAGAAATTGGCAAGGCTTGACTTTACCAGTTTCTGTCGGATCTAAAAAAAAAAAAAAAAAAACTACACAGGCCGTACACACCTGACTTACATACGAAAATACACAAGCTATGTTCACGTGGTTTATATCCGAAAATACACACGTTGTACTCACCTGACTTTCACCTGAAAATATACGCACGTTGTATTCACCTGACTTTCATCTGAAAATATACACACGATGTATTCACCTGACTTTCACCTGAAAATATACACACGATGTATTCACCTGACTTTGACCTGAAAATATACACACGTTGTATTCACCTGACTTTCACCTGAAAATATACACACGTTGTATTCACCTGACTTTCACCTGAAAATATACACACGTTGTATTCACCTGACTTTCACCTGAAAATATACACACGTTGTACTAGACCATCTTCAGGACATATTCATAAAACATAATTAACATTAGACTATATTTAATTCAACATGAAAAAGGCGATGGACATAAGAGTAAGACTAATCCAAACAGACAACTGATATTTTTTCAAGATCAGCGTTCCGTTTTAATATGATCATGTCGGCGATGTTGTGACGTGACCATCCTGAAGATGATCTACTAGACCGAAACGTCCGACGTTGACATTATATTAACATTAAAACAGCATAATTGCATATTAGGATTT